AATGCACGTCTGAACAGATTTATGATATGATATTTTTTTCCTTTAATGCGCCCATTACCATCGGCCGTTTTGGACAAATCGACCTGAGTATTGTAATATACTGGCCAGATTCTTTTTAGTCACGACGGAGAACGTGTAGTAATGACCTTTGGCATTTCTTCGGGGCAATCTGATTACGCTTTCCTTGCAGCGGCAATAGCTACCCGCCCATAAGTAGATAGATCAACGTTAAGACTTAATTCTGTTTGTTCCTCTCATGCCGAACCCAAATCTTGTTCATTAATGCGTACACAACTATCAGCAAGACGATCTTTTTAGACCAATCACCTTCAACCGAAACGATAGACTACAAAATGCTGGGTGTCCTTGTCACGAAGCTTTATATAGATGCACCAATAGAATAACAGCAAAACGAACGATACTACATTGCCTTACTATCAGTCTGTCACACTCGCTAACATACGTATGAACCCAGCAATAATACTCGCCAAAGCTTCGTCCTCGTTTTCCCTAACCGTCGTGTAGCTTCAAGCTCGCGCTTGAACGTTTCTAAGCGCCGTACAAGTAAGTTATACATAACTGTGGGCTGCTCGAAGTAAACAATAGCGACAGTAACCGATCTTCTTTAGTGGCGGGCTGTTCTGTCAGGGTCGTGCGGTCGTGCTTGAATGATCCCACCAATAGCTACGTACAGAAAAGGAACCAGTGCTCCGGACGATGGCGACCCATGAGCATATCGGCCGGTAAGCGTAGCAAGCCGGACAGCAAGCCGACAGTCGGACGAATCGACGGCACCCCGATACGATGATCGGACAGAAAATTGTAGTACAGGCGTACCTACCAGACTAACTTTAGCGGCTTTCGATCTCTAGCATGGCCAGCCGTCTGGTGACGACCTCATCGCGTTGACAGAGAACGCTACGGCAGCGCAGTAACACACAGCGTTAACAGCAACTCAGATACACATGAAAAGAGTAAAACATCGAAGAGAAAAAACATATCTCTTTCGCTAGGTTGAAAAACAGGAAACATGGGCCGACAGAGTCGCCGCTTCGTGGTAACCTTTGACATCTGCTCTCTCGGCCGTACGATTATTATAATCATACCTTGGCGGGCGTACAATGAAGTTCCATAGATATATGTTGCGATTACTGGCACCGTTGGAATTATGTAATGCATAATGGAATTATGTAACGTTGAAACTGTCCTCTGCTGCATAAGGTGGGCCAGTTATTCACTCTTGTTTTATGGGTTTTTTTAAAATAATGTTCCCAATGTTTTAACAACACTGTCATTGGACAATGTGGCTTGCCGTAATTTATTTATCTCGTGGTATACGAAAAATGATATTGACAGCCTATGAACGACGTAGTAATCATTTTGTTGGCTACAAGCGAGTGTGCCTGTGTTGCGTTTCACCCAACATCAGATTTATTTTTACATTTTTAGGAACCAAGGTGTTAAGCCTAAGTGAGCCTGCCATCTTTCAACCAGTTTTTCGAACATCTTCACATTATCCGCACATGGTACATCGTAATGTAATACGATGGTGGGCAATGAGACTTTGAGACTGATAGCGGTTTGGCTTGATGGGCAACGTCGATGTGCAAATCCACCAGCGGCTATCATGATCACAAACATAGCCTTTGTTCTCGAAAAAAAAACACTCCTGTGAGCATGACAGATGATGAACAAGGTTAACCTAATAGGATTCTACTACTGATAATAACGCTAGACTTTGCCTGACTAGGTTCCGATTAAATATGCTTGTTTGCAAACAGTTAAACGACGATTATAGAAGATTCATGATGCCCTCGGATTATGCGTTCGACCTACGTAATGACTGAACTTTGTGAGCCAGTTCGGATATTTGCCGTAAGTTGAACTAAGTTATTGTCTTTAGTTAGACGTTCATACGTGCGTCAACTTCGTGTAAAAAGTGTGCTCGCTAAACTACGCATTCATGTTTATACTTGCCAAGTGAGATTATGTATAAGAGTAGAGGGCTGAGGATATAAATGTTACCCGTGTTATTCTTTGCCATAGCAAATTTCAATTTGGTGATGATAGACTCGATTGACAACGATATTTATATAGCCTAGTATACTTGGTATTTTCCATCACTATCCTGTTATATGGGGTCTTGCACGTCTCATATAATATGTTACCGAATTGAACGCTCCGATGAGGTGGGGTCGATGTCATTACCGTGAGCAATGCGTGAAACTAAGTTTTTGCACGGACGTTTCGAACATCGCCCTCTTTACTTGGGTGACTGCACTATACCGAAAAAAGCCCAGATTATGTACAGACTGACCCAGCAAACATGGTAGGTCAAATTTAGTCTCATTTCACGTTACATTCATCCGCTACACTGATTTCTATCCGACAGTCTATAAACGTTGCTTATAGTTATGAGCGAGCCTTGAATTCGTCGATAAGATTCGGACGGTAAGATGAACGGATTTTACTGAAACAACTAAAGTGGAAATTAGCGTGGCCAAAGTCAAACACATTAAAACCCGTTTGCGATAGCGATATATATACATATATTATCATATGTTTGTACTATACAGTAATGTTGGTTGATACGTAAACAATTTCGTAATTACTGCAGTTGTTTGGTGCAATACAGGATATTCTAGATAGAAATGTAGATTTTTTTCAAACGCTTGACGCGATCACTTCGACCGTTGTGTTATAAAAGCTTTCTATTTATCATTGTCTATCAATCTGATCATCTTACATCATAGATTCATTCACGAGATCGGCGGGGTTCGTGGGGTGAATAGCATTCACGACGAATTCTTCAGTACCTCTGGCTATTGGCCAATGGGAATACGCTGGATCAATCAGAGGTCATTTACACGCAGCTTTAACATATCTCGCTATGTAATGACTTGCGGGAATAGACTTCTGAAATATACAATGATGTGCCTGCTTACTACGATATGTCTGATCTTATCCTCACGACATCATTGAAGCAACGCTTAACCTTTATTTCCCAAGCGAGCTGGCTCAACATGAGTCTGTACGGATACGCATCCAAATATAGCACGACTCTCGTCATAACGCGCCACAACAGGGCTCTTCTAGCCATCTCTAAATCGCAAGAACGAACTAACTAAAGTGTGCGAGGTATGTCTATACGTATGTGTGAGCTTTGTGTGCTTAATACTAGCACTATTTTGTTGGCCTTGTTGCCAAGAACATTGCCGTACTACGGAAGTCTATGACAGGCACCAACGTATCGTACCGCAAGCGGCTGTACCCGATCAATTTGCTTGTGTGACTGCATTCCCCCTCGAAGCGGCACTCTTCCTATCCTTCATTGCCCTTCTCATATCTTTGCTAAGTGATCGCGCGTCTTGTGCACAAACACATAGGTCGTGCCCGCTCATCGCCTGCCACTATCGCTCCATTGACGCGGCGGATAGGGAGCTGTTGGCAAGTATCTCTGCCGCCCAGTTGGCTTATACCGGAGACGAGAGCGAAGGGCAAGCACAAACCGATTTGTGCTGTCGTTCAACACTGGTAGAATATTTTTCAGAATGAAGTGTCGTCGAAAACGATGTGCGCTGTTGGCTCTTGCCGAAAAATTCAGTTGTTGTCGCTGTTGCGTGCAAACAGCATCGCCAGAACAAAAATCTGGTAAAACGAAGATATGTTTCATCGACAACGCAATGATATAGTCACGACCGCTGTCTCCCTACTCTCTTCGCCGCTGCTTCTCTCTGTAAGGATTTTCTCATCGCCTCCCTGTTCGGCAATATGGCGGCGTCGCCATTCGCGACGATCCTGTACGTACATGGAGGCTGGCAGCGAAGGCTGCAGTTTTCCGACACGACCCAGTCACCGTAGATGCGAGGGCAGTTTTTCGCTGTTCTCGGTGAGTTTCGAAACGGCGCGCGCCGCACGGCACCCTTCTCGCTGCGGGGAGGAGCAGCGCGAGAGGAATAGAGCGCCAGATCATGGCACGACGGTGACCCTGCTGGATTTACGGACGTGTGCACTGTGTGTGATATATGACAATACTACATCAGGCGAACAGATAGATTGCTAAAATACCGCTGAGTGGCGCTGGTGCTGCGGCGGGGAGCGCCACCGCTACTAGCAGCAATACCGGTTTGTGGTTGACCCGTGTAACTTCTCATTTCTAATTATGTCTACCATTGATTGCAGCGTCTCGCGCGACGCGGGAAGGGAAGGCTAGATAAGGGGGAAAAAGCGAAAACAAGCCTTAACCTCCGTTATTTAGTGGCCGACGGCTCTGGTCTAGTACGTATTGTACGAGCGAATCAACTCTCTAAACTGTCGTTTACCCTCCACGTAGCTGACTTGTCGCGGAACAACCTGGGCTTATTTTTGGACGCACACGCAGACATGGAGAAACAATATAGGCAGGAAACTTAACCGCACAGGTTTACCTCCCCATCGACACGGAGTAGCATCGATGTATCAGCTGAATGAAAAGCTTTCGAAGATAGGAATGGTACGATGTTTTCCGCAGTCGAGTAATATCACTGTGGATTTGTTTCGTCGACGTCTTGACGAACTGCTAAATGGTCGTTCAGACGGGCTGACACGAACGAATTGAGAACAATCTTCATATAGACGAAAACCAAGACAAGCTACCGAAGTAAAAAGAATATTGTAAAGTCGTGTATCGCTTCTTTCAGACGAACACTTGGCCAACGATATAATTATTATGCGATCAAGTTCTCAATCAGTTCTTGATAATATCGCTATCAAGTAAGATAATAATAGCTAAATCTTGCGAAGTAATTATTAGTACATCCTCACCTAATTATCATCATCAAATACATCATCATATATCAAATACATCGATCTCGTATATGCTCCAATCCCACCAGAGTCCTCTGGTGATAGAATAAACAATATATTCCGGTAGCTAGAGCGTAACGCAAAACATCAGGCCATTCATTCTACAAAAATAATCAGAACGAGTTTCTGAAATACGGTTTCTGCTACCAGATTTATTCGAAAGTTAGTAACACTACATAAAGCGGATTAGCAAATGAAAAGTTTGTGAGCCAGTCTATATAAATATAAAAATTGTATTATCTATGCTCAAAAGAAAGACATCAGGCAGTTAATGTAAATCAGCAACAAGGAATTCATTAAGTAACAATCTACCTATGTATTATACAAACAAATCCCGGCAGAAGCATCATATATGTTGCCACTCGCGTCGGGTGGGAAGGTTAACAGATCTTTCTTTCGCCTTCTTTGTCCATATACAATATCACATGAGAGCCTAATGAGGCATCCGACTAAGTTACGTATGTTTTAGGTACTTTCCCTTGACAAGCACGTTTTGTCCAAGATGAATGCCAGCATACTATGTTAGTGTGTAAAGTCGCTGATTATTAGAGCATCTGATGGTCTTGCTTGGCTATTTGTGTAGCCACGTTCGCGTACAATCGTGATATAGCTTTTTGACAGCTGGTTTCGAGAAAAGGCGGACCGACGATGCTCAAGTGGCATAGTAATTGTGCTTGACGTAGAGTAACAGGTCTTGATTTAGATCTCATTGACAGGAAAGTCACCCAGATCGTTGTTTGTAACACCACTTTTATATTTAGGCAGAAATGGTGGCAGGACACCTAGAAAAGGCCCGAACGGTTCGGAGTGCTCGGGTTCTTTTCGTTGGTTTTTCCTTTTTGCGGCCTGCGTTTTGACATGAAGGATGTGGAAGCCGCTCTCATCAGCGAAGTAATCGACAATTTTTATTAGTCCATTTGGATCTGTATAGCCATAACGGCCACGAACTGACCCGTCCTCCAGACGTTCCTCTTGTCGAAAATGCCCGCTTGGGTCTTCTGGCCCCGCATCAGAGCCAAATGTATAAGTTGCAGTATCGGTGTCCTGCCGCTGGAATTGATTACGAACGCTAGTTGGGATGCTGGACTCCACACCACGGCCGGTCTTTCTACAATTGCATTCTGCCTGAAATCATGAAAGAAGCGTATCTTTATAATTTGTATGTACCAAGAAAGCGTGTATATATAGAAAGCTATAAATATTCACCGAATATATATAGCTTCGCTATTGATCAAATATCGAAATCTTGCAAATGGATGTGTTTTGCAAAAAATACTGCTACAACCATTAAGATTCCGCATAGACGTCTTCGTGAGCTCTAGAATAGAAAAATGTCGACTTGACCTTTTGCTTACGTTTTTATTGTTCGCTCAATATACTTGTACGCTCCCAGCCGCAGATTTTCGCGGAGCAGAAATACAAGAGCTAAGTCAAATGTAACTGTCGAAACTGGTGAACCCCGTTTTTTATAAGCAGCACCTTTGAGTACCGAGTACCGCTCCGAAAGAACAGAGCCTGAATGCAGGTCCTTTGTTTGCTGGCACTCTCGTGACGTACTGAATAAAACGAAGAAAAGCAACAGTAAATGCAGAAGGAACAGAAAACAGGACGATCGTCTATCGGAGTGGTTGTAGGTAAAGATGAAGACGATTTCGGATTGGCCTTCTGGTCATTGCAAACAAATCAATACTTCAAATAATCAGGCGACCCAGAGACACTGAGGAGCGAAATAGAAATAAAGCGAAAAGGAATAAACATACGGTGCGCCTGAAGGCCAGTGTGCGAGCCCAGGATGATACGAACTTATGGGAATATCCAGTCAGACTCGTTTCTCACCGGTGGCGCGCGTTCAATAACAAAGCGAAGTTCATTCTCCTTAAAAGTTTGAACGACATCTCTTTATACAAATGCAACAACGAGTCGTATCAACAAGAGCGGCAAAACAACGCGATGCGAAGAGGAGCCCAGCAGTAGGAACTTTACGGTACATCGCAATATTATTCTATACACGTTTCCCATGTCAGGCCGTACTACGTCTTTTGCCATAAATGCCGGTGCTGTCTGTTAGGTCAGCACGTCATCAGGGACCGAAACCGCGTACATTCTTTGTGCCTATTTCATCTCTAAGGCCCATCCTGATCGAAGAGTCATTGCTTTGAAACGAAGACAATAACAAACTGCCAATGGTGGAGAAGATCGCATCCTGCAAGTGTTTTTTCCTCGCGTCAATTATCTAAGTATATTATGCGCAAAAACACTGCGACCTGTATGATTAATATTCGAAGAAAATGAGGTTTACGAGTTCTACAAGGTTCATTTTGTTGATTCATCAATTGTTTTATGATTTCTTAAATTGCATAGAGGTTCCTGGTTGGTTCATGTCTATTCCAGTATGTTAAGTGTCCTAAGCCTGACAGAATGCTACAAAGCGATACGATTCGCCGGCGGCCTAAAGAAAAATGAAAATAAGGCACATTTATATTTCGAAATCCTTTCCTGACGACATGATCTAGGTCACTTCAATGTATTGGAGTAGTCCATATTGAATACGCGATCCTATTGTGAATGAATATTATTTCACCTCTCAAGAGTAGCTTATCCTGCATGCAAATTGTCTTTGAGGATATGCCAACCAGACGCACTACTTAGTTAACTTTCAATTTGGCAACGACTGAGAAACATTAATGATAGTTTTAAATCTAAAAAAGTTACTCAAAACAGAAGTATATTAACTTGTTGATTAAGATAGAAATTAGTCGGTGCAGCGTAACAATAATAGAAATAGAATATAACCTATTACCCGGTTTATCTTGTACGCAGATGCGTAATTATCAGCATGTGGTTATTTCATAGAGATTTTGAAGAAGATCCTATAAGTTATTTCCCTAGTCTTGTACCTAGTCATTTTGCTTTTAACTACAACTTACGTGGCGAGAAAATAAAGTAGATGATAACAATAGCAACATTCTCCTAACACATAAAATACATATGCAATCTTCAATCACCCATGTGCTATGTGTATGATATGTGACATTGTTCCAGCCATTATTGTACGTTGTCGTCTTTAAGGACATATATCAGGGGATAGTTAAGCCCTTTAAGTTATACAAGTCAAACACGGGGTTCAAGATACGTCAACTAAACAGTAGATGTATAGGTCTCGCATATATTGATATTATAATTTCTGAACTTCCTTCTTAATCATATCCTTTTAGCATTTTTATGAGCATGATTGTTCAGCTTCTTTTTTTTTCTTTCTTTTCTTTTATCAACTAGAAGTTAAAAAGAACCATTAGAAACATCGATTTCGCTTGCGATTTAGCATCTATAAAGACTTCAATGGAAAGCCGTAACATAGAGCTAGTGACTCTATATCACTCGCAGAAGACAACGTCTGCGCAAATTCTTCGCCGCTATCCACCAATCAATCAATCCTTATTCTCATATAATTGCGTTGCAGTTCAGAAAACATGGCGTATACCCGAACAGCGACGGGACAATAGGAGTTCGGCTAAGAAAATTTGTTCACCGCTTTCATAAGTCACCGTATATCAACAAAGCTATAAGAGAACGAAAAAAAAATTAACCCCTTATAGCGCGTATGAGGCAAAGCATTTCGACACATTTTTGTGCCAGAAACCCCTCCATCCTCCCTCTTTGTTTCTCAGCACTCGACGCTAGCGCAACCAACCTATGGCATCGTGCATCCGCTTAAAACATTTACCTGGTCGTGTCTTTAATGGGGATGAGCAGGAGTAAAAGGGAGTCAACAAGGCAGCGTGACCTGTGTGGGCTGAGCTCGAATCGACTAAGCGTAATGGAGCCCCCAACAACAACACACAGCCACCACCTGGCAGATTAAATCTACTTTTACTATTATCAGGACCAGCCAACACTCTGCGGATAAACAGCATGCAAAACTGCTCTAAGTACCGTAAGTATCATAACTGAACAATTGTTATAATGTTCCTAACACACACGGTCGTGAAACCGTATCATGCACTATTACGAAGTAGCCCGTACAAGAGTATGTGGGTAGAGCGCGCGCGCGCGCGCGAAACGGAGCAGATCCCTCAATGAAACGCGTGGTTGGCCGTTATTTAGAGAGCTAAGAGAACAAATATACGCTTAAGGAACGATGCTAGTTCTTCACTGATTAGACGTACCAGACGCGGCCACAATAGCAGTAGACAAATCAAACGAAGTCGTGACCGGCTTCAGCTCTACTGACGCCTAATTGTTTGTGGAAAGATGCTGAAGTTGTGGACACTGTGTATAAACGAACGGCAAAAGTAACGAGCTAAGGTAAGACGAAAGAAGGCCAAAATATTGAGTACGCCCCGTCACAGTATCACAGGGGTCAGGTGATAGGTAGAACCAAAATTTCGATATTTTTAAAACCTTAGAGTAATTGTAAGGCTGTAATAGGCGATTAAAGGTATCAGCTTTACTGCAGAACAGCTCAAAACAGTGATCTTCATCGACACATTATTACCGACACGAATAGACAAGCGCGATAAAATTTTCAGCGTGACGTCATTGAAAAATTGCGGTGGCAATGGTAATAATAATGATACCCCTTGCTACAGTTAGCGCGCACGTAGCGTTCACCGATAGCACGGGGCTATGAATGGCAGGAAACGATCAAATGGAACCACGGAATGACCTTTCGTATTTGAAACTCGAGGTCTATTGAAAGGTGCTAATTACTTCATTTAGACACAACGTTTTTTTTTATAGGTGTAGTCGGCCAAGCATATAGCCCATCTAAATTTGCAGTGCTTATTATAATCTCAATAGCTTAATGATTTACACCAAAATACTTGCCGGGCTCTGAGGGTGAATATGTTCATTTACATAGCAACAACAGCCAGATGGATAATTTAGAAGTCTTTTATATTTCAACGAAGTAACTGAACGCTTGGGTTATATTTACCACTCCACAGGCCATCCAAGTGGCAAGCGTTATCAGCGCCGTACTCCACCGTAGCCATCCGCGGGCAAACATTTTTCAACGTGCTTGATATCTTTCAGTCCAAGTCCAATGGGGAACGTGGGTGTTCCGCTGAAGAGGGCACATATGCAGGTACACAATGCTACTGGTCGCACTTCAGACACTGCGTGTATCACGGAATAATCCGCATGGGTGGGATGCATGCATCCGCATCTGACAAGGTTCTCCGCTTAACTGAAGTCCTGCGCATTATCACCATCTATGAGCCTACGGTATCTCATGGTTCTTCTTCTCCATTAAACGTGGATCGCTGCCCGCGCGCACACGGCGATGTCGATCGTCACCTCCTGTACCGCCTTCCCCTCACCGCTCTCGTGCAGGGGCGGAGCCTCGTGAGGTCGACCGGTCGTTACCGTTGTTCAACAATGAAACAGTAACTTGGACAAGGCAACTGAAAAGACGTATAGCACTTACACGCAGTTGATAAGTCATACCGACTGATCATCTTCGATTAGCTTCATTCAATGCACAAGCTCAAATGAAACTAGCGAATAACGAGAGGTTAACCCCTGGATCACGGAGATGTCAGATGCCGGGTTAGAAATTTAGTTTAGCTACCGACCTACTTGCTGCATCCCCTTCAAAGTATGTCTTCCGCAAAACTTTCTCAAGATTAACAGCGAGTAGGCGGTGCTTTATGGTGCTTTGTGGATTGGACGACGTAAGTTTCTCGCGGACGGTTGTGGGTGATCGGATACCGTGATGTACTCTTTAAAAGATGTATAGAAATTTCGTCTGGTGGGTTTTGTGCGACTCTTCAGAGAACGCTTGAGGTGCCTTGGGCTCTTCAACGCATTGATTGTTGTGGTCGCTGGTTTACCGACCCAACGGATCCTCGACCCATTACACGGTTAAGGCAGAGGTCAATATGGAAACGAAAAAATCGGGAAGCGCACCTAATAAAACAGTATTCCGAATGACGTGTTAACATTCTCTCCAGAAGGTAACGTGAGCGCAATTGCGGCTAGCCAATCTGTTCAAAAACACATAAATACAATTTAGGAACTTTGACTAATTGCTGGTTTCTTGCTAGGAGATACTCACTCTGAAGGTCAACACACTTGAACTAAACATTAGACGGAGATCCCATCGATAGGTTCTTTTAAATTGCGGTCTGATAGATTTAAATCTTTCACTAATATTGATAACGCACCTGAACGTGACGATCCTAGTCAACACTAAGGAAAGGTAAACGAGTGGCTCAAGCAGTGCCAAAATGAGATACGCACCCTAAGATAGCGTCGTTGCATTGCATAATATTAACTATAATAGTATTAAGCACATCGAATCTTTGAGATACATCTTGTTCTCCAGGGAGCCATAGAACAAATCACTAAGACTACTTTCATACATGGTTGGAACTGACTTAGTCAAAGGGCTGACAAAGTACTTCCTCAAAAAATCGCTGATTAAGTACAAATGGCTTAGGCGTTCGGAAGTATGTGCGTGCTTTCAGCTTCATTCATTTTCGTATAGTTAAATGCGAGCGGTCCTCACAACCGTCGCACCAAATCGCCCGCAGCTGCCGACATTCTTCGAACCTTCAGTGGATCTCTATGGGCTTAGGCCACTCGGTATAACTAGTCAACGTCAAAGAGGTATATAACCTAGAAAATCTGGTTCTAATGATAAGTGATTTAGACAACAAGCCAATTCTATGCAAAGATACATCGCAATAGGCTAGAACTGAACGTTCACGTCCACTCTTTACAGTTAGTATGTCAGCGAGCCATGATTGGTCTCCTATCCAAGTTTCATAGCTGGCGGATGCCGCCACTATCACTGATCTCTTACGTCCATTAAACGCTCGCAAACGAATATGGACGGTTGTCAGTAGTAGTAGTTCATGTTGGACTCTTTGAAGCCTCAATGTGCTGGCCCTGCCGAGCGCTTTTCAACAACACCAACAGCAATAACATGAGTTGTGAATGCCAAAATCTCCGTGTGTATATTTATCTGTCTAAGAGTGTGCGTGTGTTCGTAACTACCCCGATTCTCTCCCGAGCCGAAGAACTAGGTCTGGGCCTTTGAGACTTCATAAGGCGAAATCAAATCGCGTCTTCGACTGCCGTCGTGACCAGAGGTCGCGCCCTTCGGCCTAATCAGAAAGAGCGGCGCCGAAATGCCGACAAGCCAAACTTCATCGACCGTCTAAGGCTACCCGTCCGATAGACGTCTACAAAGGGACACTGCCCTAGTAAGGGCCTAACCGGAACAGACGAGATTGGGCGTTAGCAGGCAAAGGACCTGGAGGACCATGTCAGCAAACCGTGACGAGATGCTTCTAACTGTGCATAAATGAGAGATGCTGACCTGTGTGTACCACACTTCAAGTTAAGTAATAATAATATTAAAAGAAACAGATATTATCAAACAAAACATTGGTTCTATCTTCATACTAAGTGGCACGTATTTATATCTCTGTCCAGTGATTGAGGACGAGTGCTCGTTGCAGTCAGCCTACAAAGTACTGAGTAAACCAAAAGCTAATATGAACGATGTACTCTATAGTAAATTGTCGAACATTATCCAATGGAGCATAGGCGGGTTTTTTCAAATATTGTTAAAGGTCTATTGAACATAAATATATAGAATATTAAAAAGCGTATACGTGCAAATATGTTTTAATTTAAAAATGATTACAAGTGAAAAAAAGTGATAAAACAGATAGACTTTTAATCTGTTTTCGTGCACCATTATTAAATTGGCGAGCTGACGTGTGGGACATTCGAATTGCATAGCCGGCTTGCCACAGAGAAGACTATTTCGACAACTACCATGGCTTATCTTGAAATGCAATATAACCTGATAGTTTGGCATATAGTTTTTTTTTTTTTTTTTTTTTTTTTTTTTTTTTTTTTTACTAGATAACATCTTAGATCTGATCCATCTTAGATATTTCACCTCTCCTGTGTGCACTGATGGTACAAATTTTATTGAATCTGTTACTCTAAAACCCGTGGTACAACAGAGGATACCGTATACACCCCAAAAGAGTAGTAGTGCGGCATATTGAGGAATAGCAACTACGCAATAACTGCGCGTGAAATCATCCTGCCGCTGCCGATTATCCGGTACGATCCGATCGGATAAAAGCCCCCTGAAGTGATGTATCGGAGATCATCTCGAAGGGTCGTCGCAGATCTCGTAGAGATAATCCGTTAGCTATAATTGATACTGTTCATATTTCCTAGACCGATCGTTTTCATCTCTCGGTTTTTGTTTTAGTATAGCTGATTTTAAAAAGCGGCGTCATGTAAATGTTGCGCCTGAGAAATGAGCAACATATGCCATTATTTGACATAAGCAGGTTGTTCGCGCATTACAAATCGTCTAAAGGAAAACACATAAATCCGGTTGAAAAGCAACAAAAAAAAACCGCCTCATTAGCACTTCATTAGCTAACTTCGCTAGGGTAACTTTAGTAGCATCAGAATATCGAAAGAAATAAACATATTTATTATGCTAACGCCAAAAATGGGTGCAATAGCCGGTAAATGCCTCAATTGGCTAGAAATGCTGTTCCAAGCTCTATACTTTTCCCCCCCCCCAGTTTACTTATGCTTAAAATCTTTATGAGTCACGAATCGAAAACTGACCTCAACTAGTATACTATGAATAATCTTAAATGGGCTAAAAAAATCTAATCTAAAAAAAAAACCTAATCTTTATTTGGTCACCGATAAGCTGAATGTTGTACGCGAACAACGTTCTGATCTATACAGTCTAATCTGTTCACACAGCCAAAGCATTCATTGAAAGTGGGCTTCATTGACAAAACCCTACTCTATAAAATGCTACTCAAACGATCTATCTGTCGTTTTGAGGAACATGGCAGGAACATCAGCAGCACGGTATAGCTTACCCCGTGCCAGCCCGTAGTTGTGGCGAGCGTGATGATATTTTGTGCAGTTTTAATTTGACCAGGAACAATTCTACGAGATGTCGGCTCGTGCAAACGTGTGCGTCGTCTTTATGTTGTTATGGTTGTCGTGTCCCCGACAGCATCATCGTTCGTCACTGCTGCTGCTGCTGCTGCTGCTGCTCCTTCTAGGCTAGCGACTGTTAGTGCCAAAAAATTCATCATACAACGACCGCATGGCCTCATCCAGGACGACGATTGACGAGAGGATAGAGTTCCATTTGTTTTCTTCAGTAGAATTTAACTCACTCGAATATTAACACCAGGCAAGTGAGTTTCTGCTAGACACATCAGAAACCGTGTATGGAAGCGTGTCATCAGCTGGCTGGGGACCTCCAGATGGGAGCTGTGAGGTCACGACAACTAGCGCTCCGATCGTCTTGGCTCTTTATCGTCATCGTGGGCCAAAAGAGGCAACAAATACCATCACTTTCTTCATCTCCCAACGCCGCAATCATCATTGCTAGCACGACCATCATGATTGTCACAATAGCTGTATTGAAGAGGGCTGCCCTGTACAATATCCCTGCAAGTAACATACCCCGGTACTCATCTGAGAATTCGCCTAAACACTCCTCATCGATCTTGCTTTCCTTCCGATAAGGTACTTCACACAGTTTGGAACCGCATTTACTCGTCATGAACAAGACGAAACTAACGTTCACGATGAAGCCTGTCAATGAGCGGGCGACCATATTCACGGAACATCATTATTGAAAAGGCAATAGTTTTATTAATACACGTTACCTAATACATCTGACTTGTGAAGCGTTCGAACGCCGAATTTAGCACCGGAAAGTAATATAGTGATACGGCAATTGCGTCAGTTTCCCAGTGCAGCCCACATGATCGGCGTGCACAATCATAGGTTCAAAACAGCATATTTATATAAGGATTACTAATTGTTTACTAGCATGGTCATATATTATATAGCAAAGAGTATCAATGGTGACGCAATTACCAATGGAGGCACAATGTTTCAGGCAGACTAATCTGAATTTCGCATAACGTTAGGGAATGATACAAATGTATGATCTATCAAACTAGAGGAATAAATATTCGCGACAAAGCAAGTAAGCTTTATAGGGTATTTAATGCACAATTCCTCAACAACAAACGTTATAAAATAATTTTTGACAGTTTACGCTACTGAAGATCTAACATAGCTCAAGCTAGTGTAATGTTATTTATTGTTAGCCTGCAGTCCAATATTGGCTAGTGAGTGTTTTTAACCGGATGTCCTAGCACTCGCTGGTACTTGATAGCTTTGACGTTGCCCCCAATCACACTCACAAATTGTTCGGTCGCCTCTTTTCGGAGCCTACAGGCGCAGGCGACCGCTATGTACTGGGCATTTTTCTCATAACCCCCGAAAAGCAAAGAAGAAACGAGACTGTAAAGCAAAGAGAAGAAAAACCCAGTAACAAAGGAGATAACGGTGTCTCGGTTACTTTCAGGCTCCTCACTGTCAATGTGTCCACTCAAAATGTCATCCTTTATGCATACACAGAAATACAATGTCCTTCTACAAAAACCAGCTGCTGACAATGCGTGCTTCAGTAAGAGGAAAGGCGCTTCAGTCCTGAACTAGGTATGGATCCTAGCATTCTACATATCAAGCAGTAACATGCCATGCAGGTTTAACCAATTTTGTATCAAATCGTATGGCCTAAGATTAGCTTTAGTAGAATACGCATGGTTCCTCTGTTTCATACTGGGTCGAGGCATTCGCTTCTTCTAAATATACCTTTAACATTTGAGCGCCTACAATTTATAAACAAATTATCTATGCTAGAACCATCAGAACGATTGTAGATATTATATCTATATTTTGACAAACGGCTTGTTTGTTAATTCGGTTTCTAACTGCACGAAAAACGATTTTTATCGAACCATATTTATCCAGCCCAGATGGCCGCTTTCGGTGCCAATTTTTTGAAGTCACGCCTGCATATACTTATATTATGCAGAATGTGTGTAGACATTTTAGAATCGTCCACTCTTTCTCGAAGCTTAGCGTTGAAATCGACCGACTTGAATATTGGAAGTGAGCGTCGTGTTCAAATCAGACATCACGTGCTCTTAAGCGTCAGCCACACAAAGGGCATACCGTTAGTACGTCTACCTACGTAGCTTTGAAGATTCTATCGTACTGTGCTCTTCGCCGTCACCGTCTTCCATGACTCAGCCGAACAGCCCAGAAACAGGGTCGTCACAGACCCAATCGAAAAATCGCCTAACGATTCAGACAAAGAGAGCGACACGGCATCACAAAAAATTGCGGTGAGAACTCCATCAGGCGCTCTAGTACGACAGCGTATTGATGGACGACGCCCACCTATCTAGCTTGTAGTACTAGTTGTACAAGTACATACTGAGCGATAGATGGTAGAGGATTATGCTTCGAACGCTACATGTTGGACCATTATATCCTTTACGTATGTTTCGTTAAGCGCATGCGAACGTTGTTTCTAGCTTTTTGCTAGAGCAACTCGGACGGCTTTACGACGTTATTGGGGCTCAGAGTCCAGCTTCGGTATCAAACAAAGTTAACATTTTCAAAGATAGAAATTTCTGTAGCCATGTACTCACTGGTTAATATATGTTGCGTTATTCAATACCGTCAAACCATTTTGTGGCTTTTAAAGGCTAGCGAATTCTAATGATTATAAAAAAAAAAACAGTCTAATGCATCTAACAATGTGCTGGCTGCTGTTCCATACATTGCAAATTTCGTTTCGGTAAATGGTCACTTACGCCTTACAAATCTAAGATATCTATAAGGTGCATCTTATTTGTTATACCATATGCAATTACATAACACTTTGTTTATCTAGCATCATTGTGGTACAACCGAACGTCTGCCACCGTAAATCGTCAAAAAAAAATACGGTATTTACTCAAAAGGCAGGTTTTCAAGAGAAAAAAAATACCCCTTCGTAGATTTGCCCCAACTTAACGAAACGAAGGAACGGAACAAGGAAAGCCGTACTGTCGTACACAGTAATACGTTCCCACGAGATAGAGGTAAATAAGCTGTTTCCATTCTTTATGAGTTACTACCCCGCTCAATTACTTCAGAGAAGCTAACAGCAGGCGAGCGAACTGTGGTTGCCTGCTTTCACCGGTAAACATATCGCTATCGTATCCGTACCGATTACTTCCCGATGTAATTTGCAATAAATGTCAAAATGTCGATCTTGATTTTGTTTTACGTAATATATGGGTATCTACGATCATATATTATCTGAGTGTCTATGAGAGTAAAACTTACAAATGGCTTCTGAAAGACATGAGATCGCTTTGATTTAACCCTATGATTTTGACTGTTTCGTGAATGGTTCGATAGTATATTTTAGCAGACGACAAAGATCCGCAATTCCACAAAATGCCATCTGCAGAAAAAGTGATATATTAAACAGCTGCTTGTTCATATGCGGTTAGGGTATAACAGCCAGCAATTCATTACTAGTCTCCGATCAAGGGATTACTCATTCACAACAGATGTCACCAGCTTCATTGAAATCGGACATTTATTTAATATGAATCAGATAAAAAAAAAATGGTAAAGAACGAGGCATCAACAACTAGTATCTGAATCGGCTCGG